TTATATTGACATATTAGCAAACTCAATTCACTGACAAGTAATTTAAATTGGATCCGCATAAGCCGATGAGACAGGCAATTATGAGAAAAGTATTGAAAACAAATTGGAAAAAATAGAAATAATAGTTGAAACAAACTCAGTAGTTTCTCCTATTTATGTTATTTCTTAAAATGCTCCTACATCTTTTTACGAGACAACATATTAGCAGTAAAATGCAAAAACACATAATCTATAACATCTTCTAATTCTCAACAATTTTACAGATTTATAGGTTACTTTCTTACTATATTGCGCACTACTCATGCTAATATAGTTGACTCATTGGTAATATGTGCACATAACACTATAAACAAGCAACAGTGATTACCTCGTTCATGGCATATTTGATGGTACCACCACAGTCTATACTATTATATGTCACAACTAGTGGTGGCAAATCTGTGCCATCAGCAACCTGAACTCTTTCCTCGTAGCTTACCAGGTTTGGCATCTTAATGTATGCAGATTCTACCAGTTGCTCCACATCAGAAATGATCTTGCTTCCAAAAACTTCGTTTTTGAGCACCACATTGATACCAGTCCTTCGTGTCTGCGCCTCTTTCTTGTCTTCCCAGTTCATGGATTTGGTCAACAAGCTTCTGGCTGCACTACTTTCAAGCTTAAGATTCACAGGCAACGACCGTTTCGAAGTGGGCAGCCGCCCTCTCGAGGTCGGCCGGACAGGCAAAGCAGGTGGCAGATCCTTGGGCCGCTCATCCCTCTGCCTGATGGCATCCAGCATTATCTCCAGCGAGCTTCGAACGACCATAGGAGCCATTGCATTAGCCGACAGCTCAATCAAGAAGCCCCCAAATCCACGGAAACACACCACCGGAATCCAAGATTCCACGATCTAGCACCATAAAGAGCGATTCCGGAGTCAAAAAAACGCATATTTCTCACAAAAATCAAAATTTCGATAAGAATCAAGACGGAAAAAGAGAATCGATCAGGACCTGAAACCGACTCCTCTTCAAGCAAGCGTAAACGACGAAAGAAGCGGAAAAGCGGAGGTCGTTCGAATCGAAGACCCGAGCCCTGACCTCAATCTCCACCGGCCGCGGACCTTTGGGGATTCGAAGCGCTGCCTTCCAAGCGAGAAATCAGGGTCTTGCTCCGCCGAAGATTCAAACTTGCGGACCCAGTCGACACCACGCTCTCCACCTCCCTCTCCGAAGGAATAAAAGACCGCAAGAAAGGCAAAAGCCGTCGTCTTTCGAGAAAATTACAACGAGTGCCACCACACGCTGCAGGCTATGGCTCGCAGATGGCACTTCCGTTAATATCTGAACCTCAATGGCTCAATTCATCTCGAGTGGCACCGAAGCGCCGAGGAGTTTTGGCAGCGTCTCCAACGGCACGAACGTGTGTGAAATGACCCCACTGCCCCTATCATC